CCCCGCTGCGGGGGATGCAGCCCAGGAGACGCTTGGCTTTCTGGGCTGCGAGCCCACATTGCCGGCTCATGGCCAGCTTTTCACCCCCAGCACCCCCACTCCTTCTCCTCAGGGCTGCTCTCCACCCCTCCATCCCCCAGCCTGTACGGACACCGGGGGTTGCCCCCACCCGGGTGTCAAACCCCCCCAGCCCGTCCCAGGGCCGCCCTCAGCGGGGCTGGAGCGGCCCGCGGGGTACTGTGCCCTGCAGCTGCCCGGCTGCTGTCCCATGGGGCGAGCGGCGAAGAGGAAGGGAGGAAGCGGATAACAGGCACAGCAAACCACGCGTCCCCGCCCTCAGCGCAGAGATCCGGCCCTGCGGATCCCTCCCTGCCCCAGGCCCAGGGGCCGCTCACTTTCGTCATGGTGATGTTGATGGTGGTGCGGCGCCGGGCCGAGCGCGTCTTGCAGCCGGAGTCGAGCGAGAGGTCGCCCAGGGAGCCGGCGCTGCTCTCCAGCTGGGACCGCGTCCGGCTGGGGATGGGGGTGAAGTAGAGGCTCTCCAGGGACTCCACCTTGCGGGGCAGCCGCTGGGACGCCAGTGACTCTTCGCTGCCTGGTGGCACCGCCGAGGCCTCCGACTGCGAGCGGCCGACCTTCCTGCAGAGACGGGGCATGAGGGCGGCGCTGAGGGGCTTCCCGGGGCCATCGGGGAACAGGGAGGACCGGGGACACCGGGTTTTTGCGACACCGGCAGCGGGACGGGCTCCACCGAGCCGCGGTGTGCCGGTACCTGGTGGAGTTGAGCGGCTGCGCTTCGTCGAGGCTGAGGTCGAGGCTGTCGGCGCTGAGATCGGCAGGGTTCTGGCGGAAAGTCTCCCGGCCCTTCAGCGTGTCCGTCGCCACCTGGAACTTGCCGAGCTCCCGTAGCTGCCGATTGGCAAACTCCACCTGGATGGGAAGCAGGGAGGGATGGATCCTCCAAGCAAGCCGGCAACGGAGGCGAGGAGGAGGAGGGCAAAGCCCCGCTGCGCCGTGCCCACCTGAGCCTCCAGGCTGCGGACCTGGCTGGTGAGGCTCCTGCAGCTCAGCTCCGACTCCTTGGCCTGCAGGACGCTCTGCTGCAGCTCCTTGGCCAACCTCTCTGACTCGCTCCGGAGCTCCGCGTTCTCCTTCTGCAGCTGCTCCATGGCCTTCAGCTTCTCTGCCAGGTCCTGGTTCTGCTGCTTCTTTGCGTCGTAGTAAGTTTTTGCCTTCTCCATCTAGGATGTCAGAGAAAACGCGTCAGGCTTCCCTGTGGCACGCTGCCCGGGGCGGGATGGGGATGGCGGGGCCATACCAGCCCCTGCCATACCTGGCCTTTGTAGTGCTCGGCCGCCTGCTCCTTCTGGGCGAGCTGCGCCTGCAGCTCTGCCACCTTCTCCTGCTGGCGGCCGGCTTCTGCCTGCAGCTCCGCTTCCAGCGCCTGCGGGCAGGGAAGAGACCAGGTCAGAGGCGCCCCGCAGCCCCGCCTCGCTCGGCCGAGCCCCCCGCACCCCTCGGGGGCGGCCACCGAGCTCCGGGGCTGACCAAGGCTCAGCCCAGCTCAGCTCCCAGGTTTCTGGTCCCTGTTTACCTTCACCCTCTGCTGCTGGGTTCGGGCGGCCTTCTCGTGCTGGGTCAGCTTTTTATTCAGCTCCTCCACCTGGAAGAACACAGCTTGGTCAGACCAGCTCCGGGCACAAGACCCCCATGCAGGAGCACGTCCCTCCCCGCCAGCCAGCTCCAGGGGCAGGACGAGGAGGCCCAGGGCTGCTCAGCAGTGCCCGCCACCGAGGAAGCTCCCGGCACAGCCAGCGCTTTGTTAGCGGGCTCGAGGCAGGCAGCCACAGCAGCCCCACGTCAGTCTTTGCGGGGACGAGGTTCCTGCTACCCGAGCGTAAGGAGCAGCTGCATGCTGGAAGCGAAGCCGAGACCCCTTGAGGCGGGAGGGCGAGGGAAGCCGGCGCGGCTACGCAGTGCCCCGTCACCGGAGCCGGCGTCTCTGTTGCCAACTGTTTGCTGTCAGGGTAAGAGCAGGAGGCCCAGCCCGCCGCAGGCGCCCTGCGTGCCAAATCTCAAGCCATGCGGCTCGAGGCGGAGGCATCCCCCCCGAAGGGGTGCTCCTGCGGTTCCAGAGTGGGGGGTGGCTGCTTGCAGCTTGCCCAAGGCGCAGGCGGGACGTGATGCCATGGAAGGGCCGGAGCGCACCCACCGCCCTGGCGCCTGTAAGCCGCAGTCCCACGGGTCGGACGTCGCCCTCGGCAAGGGGAGACGGCCGCCAGACCCCGGCTGGGCTCTCCCAGCCCCCCGCTCACAGCCACGAGGCCTCTGCGGGGTCCCTCAGGCCGGGCCTGCGGGGGAGAACCAAGCTGGGCAGGGAAATGGGGCTTCTCCAGCATTGTTTCCCACGCGCTAAGCCACAGCACATCTGAGATTGGTGCTGCTGTAAAGCATCGCACCTCTGGCCGCAGCTGGACTGTGCTTTCTGGGAGCGCAGCCCCCTCCGCCCGGCACCGGCCGCTCCCGCCGGCTGGGCGAGGGGCTGAACCTCCGTTAAAGAGGGTGGGGAGAAGGGACAGACAGGAGGCACGGGGCAGCCCAGCTCCCCCCAGCTCCCCTCTCACTGAGACAAGGTATCACAGGAGCAACGGTTCTGTGTCAAGGAGCCCTGGGTGCTCTCGGCTGCCGGTCACTGCCTGTGGCGTGCCCCACGGCCACGCCAGGAAGGCAAGAGTGAGAAGCCGTGCCAAGCCACGGGCAAGCCGCGAGCGGGCAGGCGGCAGGTTTGGACCCCGGTTCCTACTCCCCGTGGGTGAAGGTGCGAGCCCAGAGACCTGGAGCCACGCACCCCACGGCTGGGTCCCCACTGCAAACAGTTCACGAGAGGAGAGGGCGGCTCCGGTGGGAAGCGGCAGCAGCTAGGGCCGTGCCCCGTCACCGTTTAAGCAGCCAGCACTTCGCACGCGTTACCTGCTTAGCTTGTTCTTTCCGAAATACCTCTAGCTGCTCCACCTGCGAGCACAAAAGGCAGAAGTGAATACGCGGCCGGCGCAGACCAGGCTGCCTTTCCCGGGAGCGCCCGTCCCCACCGCGCCCGAGTGCGTCCCAGACCCCCGGCTCCCGGGCTGAGCAGGAGGACGAGGATTCGGGGGCACGCAGGAGACCGAACGCGCCCCCGTTCCCAGGGGGCTGCCCCCGTCCGGCACGGAGGCTGCAGGAGCCCCTACCTGAGCCGTCAGCCTCTGCCTCTCCTCCAGCAGCTTCCTCCTCTCCTCCAGCGCCGCCGCTTTGCCACTCTCGTACTCGTTTCTCATCGTCTGCTTTGCCCCTCCCGTCCTCTTTTCTCACCCCCCCCAGCTTCCGCGCCGTCTCCTCGGCCTCCTGCCGGCTGCCGGCCACGAGCTCCTCCGACGCCGAC